AATGGGGTGGGCAGGGGTCAGGTTTTGCCTGAGTACCCTTCCTGCCCACAGAATGTGGAGGATGGCAGCCCAGGCCAGCCAAGATGATGGAGAGGACCCAGGACATCCTGGCCCCATCATTGCCTGAAAGCCACAAGGCCCAGACTTCCTGAAGGAACCACTCCTTTATAGTCTGCTCAGGATATAATCCCTGGATCCTCAGGCCTCAGGGAGGACCTGGGGTAACAGCCCAGGGGCTGCCTAGCTTTGCCTTCAGAACCAAGCAGAGGATGTTACTGGGCTAGCCAAAGGAGGGAGGGGAGCAAGGTCAGAAGTCTCAGCCCCAAAGCCGAGGCACTGTCTGGTTTCAGTCTGAGCTGGCTCTTCCTCTGTCCCCATTCTTCCTGCATCCTGGCACTTCCTCATGACCCAACAAACCCCAGCCCTGAGCTACCTTCCAGCCTTCTCTGTCATCCATTGCCACACTGGGCCTCAGAGTAAACATCCTGATGCACACACATCTTACGAGGACCTGCCCTGCTCTGAAACCTTCTCTGGCTCCCCACTGCCCTGAGACAAAATCCAGATGCCTTTCACAATCAGACCCTGCCTATTGTTCGGCCTCCTCTCCTTCCATTCTCCCCATACTCTGGCCCATAAGTCACCAGAGCCAGGCAGTATCACCACCTTCCCTCTCGCTCCTCCTCCCCCTGACCTACATTTATGCTGATTTCCTCAGAAGATCTAACTTTTAACTTGCTCATTTTCTCTTCGACTGTGTCTAGTTTACTTGTTAACTCCTCTAATTACTATACTTTTTAATTTTAACACATTTTTCACTAGTAAAATTTTAAAGTTAGGTCTTTTAAACATCTTCCTGTTCTTTTTTAATAAGGTGCTGTTCTTGTCTTAAAATTCTACTCTTTCCTGTAGCACTTCAAAAAATAAGTATACCTAATGTTGAAGTCTATTCAGGAGTTCTATAGGTCTTCAGCAGCTGGCTTTCCCATTTTCTGGGCCAGCTGACTGTCTCCCACAAAAGCGGGTTTCCTTGTG